CACCGACGAGCTCGAAAAAGAAAAAGAAAGCGACGAATCATCGTCATACGGCACGGTCACTCGTTATGGTCCGCGAATCAGCGCAAACGGTTGAATAATAATAAAAAAAAACAACAATAACTTTATTATCGCCTGCAGAACAATTCGGGGACGAGTCGCGACAAAGACGTCGTCGAGGTTAAAATACGTGAAAACCCTAATCCCCGGAGCGAAACGTGGGGCGCGGTACGAAGGGGGTGGTGGTGGTGGTGGTGGTGGTGGTGGTGGTGGTGGTGGTGGATTCACGGTGAACGCGCGACCCTTGCGCCGCCCCGACACGGAGGCCCGGTTTTCGCGGTCGTAGATTCCAAGCAGCCCCCGGTGCGATCGGGGGAATTGGGTCAGCGAATAGGGTCGACGGTGGTCGAAATCAGGTTGTCCGGGTTGTCCTGCCGCGGAATCAGGTCGCTCGATAGAGGCCAGCCGGTTACCGGCGTTCCTGTATCCGGCGAAACTGACCCCGCCGACTTCGACTTCGTAACCCGGATATCGCCTGGAACACACCGGATCGATGCACTCGCCGCGACGCGAGTTACTTATGGGGTGCGAAAGTATCCTCCACGCCCGCGCCTTTCTTTCCCTCGGTTCGCCATCGATCGGTCGGCCACCACCGTCGAATCAAATTCCTCGAGCACGCGAGAATTCTTTCCGGGAACGTACGTGTGTGTCGCACACGTGCTCGTTTACACTCAACCCTTTTGGGGGTTAGTTAGTTTCAAAATTGCCCCATATTTTTCTTTTTTTTTTTTTTTTTTCTTTTTTCTTTTCTTGATATGATTTTAATGCATGGTATTTTTTAACCCACCTAACAATGTGTTTCCCACGCATGGTGGGATTACTTGTGCCCCCACACTGTAATAAAGAATTTATTCTGATATTATCCTTGTTTTTTCATTCGCGAAGAAATATTTTTATAATAATCGAGATAAACTTTTTTTCTTTCCTCTTTTTATATTGAAAACAATTTATTCCGTGCAGTTGGAGCTCTTTTTTCTTTTTTGTTTCTTTAAAATTGCGCGCTCCTATGGGTCATCACGTGCCCTGCAAAATACACGATACATTTTTATATTCTTATATTTCAGCGGGTTTTTGTATCTCGATTTTTTTCGGTAACTTCAAACCTTTGTTTGTGTCCTCGAACTTTGAACTTGAAAATCTCATTTTCTTTTTTTTTTTCTTTTTGTGCAGGTTTAAAGACGCATCGGCACCGAGGTCATTAGCAACTAGGTACATATACGGTATTCATGTTTCTTTTAGTACAGATTTGTGCCCATTAAGAATTGGAATGTTCTCTTCAGATGATTTTGGAATCTCCTCTGTCTGCATTCATATAAAAATGTGTCCAGCTGTGAGAGATTTTTGGCATCTGTTGCAGAAGGGAGAGTCAATGCTGTTGATTAGATATTCACACGTTTGTCCTGTTTTTAATCGGGCTGGTATAATTCTTTCTTCTTTAGGTAGTCGAAAGGATTCGAAAATTAAATTGAATTTGAAGTCGAAGCTTCATCTCTCTTGAAGTTGAATCTGATAGTTTACTCGTAGGTATTTTTCTTGTGCCTAAGACACCGATTGAGTTTATGTGTGCACAATGAAAATGAAAAGAATGTTGCACTCGTACGATTGCGATTAAGTTAATAATTGCCAACTAATCTGTTGGCCATTTATCGATGAGCTTACACGTTACCATTTCTTTCGTCACTCAAAATTCAGTCATTTATTTGTCGAATAAATCAAACGCGCCGTTAGTCTTTGAAAAAGTTGGGGTTGACAATGGGGCTGACACTATGTTGAACTTATTAGGAGGTTAGGCTCTCTGTGATAACGGTAACTGTTCCCGGCAGGATTATAGTGAAGTCACGAACTAATCCCAAGAGAGTAACGGTACTGGTTACCAACCGGCAAGATCCAGGCTTACATACTTACACTCTCGTTACAGTTTATCTAACAAAACTTAAACTTAAAATCCAAATGGAACTGGGTGGTTAAACTTAAGATTTGACGTGACCAACAAGTTGAAAGAAAGATAAGAAGCGTGTTAAAAAATGAACAGCTTTCTCTCTAATCCAAACCTTGTATCAATTTAATCGATAAATAAAACACACAAATGAAAAGAAAAAATTAATCCTGTAAGGGATTACGAGCCTCAAATCTTTATATTTCAATTTCATAATTATTTATATATATATTTACATATATAATAATTTATATATTATTATATCTTTGTATTATTTTGTAATTTTCAATTTTCTATAATATTTCAAAGAGACGTTCGATCGAAGAATCAGTTGTACTTGAAATATCATTCGAATTTTTGAGAAACACATCGAATTTTTATATTTAAATTGTTCAAATTCAGTTTTGGCTCAGAAAGGGTTTATGATATCTCGAAGAATCGCGCGTACCAAGTTGAGAACCATGGGAATCTTTGAGAAACGCAAGGCGGTGATCCAAGCAACATTTTGGAATTAATCCTTTGAGTTAACCATCCTATTTATTGCAACAGCTCCAGCTTGGTGAATGTCACGTCGAGGATTTTTTGTCCCAAAAATTGCAAATATTTCCTCAGTTTTGAGTATATTTAAGTAAAACAAAATAGGCAAGACGAATGATAAATTTATTATTTCAGTTTAAAAAGAAAGCGACGAATTATAAGATGTGGTCACTCGTTACGGTCCGCAATCGGCTGCCAGTGCAAACGGTTAACACGTTGATCGCCCATATCTTAATTTTCAACTTTTGAAGCAAGAAAAATTGTAATAGCGTTTAGTGGGAAAAATGACTTCTTGATAGTAAATTATTTTTAAGTTAAATAGAATTAAATCGTCGTTATTAGTACTTTAATAATTCTGACTTTATTGTTTTCTTTTCTTTTCCTTTTTTTTTTTTTTTTTATATATAGTTTTGAATAGGAGTAACCGTTTGTTTGAAATATAACAAATGTATGAATATGATAAATAGAATACTAGTATCAATACTGTGTTACTATGATAAACTGTTATAATATTAATATTTATTAATATTAATGATTGCAAAGAAATGTTAAACTACATATAGGACACAAAGATAGTCTTGATTGACAACACTATAAAACTGGTTTTCTTTAAACGATCAAAAAATACGGCCTTCGATCATCTTAACGGACCATCTTCCAAAAATGGATACCGCTCATTACGATAATCTCTGTTTCCAAGTATCTTGCAATATCCTCATCATTCTTTCAAACGTTTCCCTATTACTCCAGCCCTGAGTTTAAAAAGAAAGCGGCGAATTATTGTACATACGGTTCGGTCACTCGTTACGGTCCGCAATCGGCTGCCGGCGCAAATGGTTGAATTCGAAATGGAGAAACAAGAAGGGGACGTTTCTCGAAATCGTTGCGCCGGACTGGCGGTTGGACGAGAGCCTCCCTCTCTCTCTCTCTCTCTCTCTCTCTCTCTCTCTCTCTCTTTCTCTCTCTCTCGAGTGGTTCGATAAGGGTGGTTTGAATCTACCCGGAAAAGCGTGTGCCCAGCCGGGAACAGGAATCGCCGCGGCGTGGCAACCGGCTAGCAACACACGGTCTCGCGCATACGAGATCGCTGACCCAGTTTCCCCGACCACGGGGGTGGCTGCTGCCGTCCCGAATATGGATCAACGTGTTTCCCGACCCATATAACGAGAAGTGCATTTACGGTTTCTGGGGCAACCACGAGCCGTGGCACACCGGGGCCAGGGCACGGAACAGCCTCTCCCCTTTACATCCGCATCACCCAGTCTCCGTTCGATCGGCCTCTGCTCGCCCCGGGTGAAAATTAAGATCGAAGATGAATCGACGCATACCGTACGTAAAAAAAAAGAAAAAGAAAAAGAAAAAAAAGAAGAAAAACCGTAACTCTGTCTGTTTTCGTTAGACACACGCCGCGTCATCGTTACGTTTACGTTACGTTTTCGTACGTGTGACAATCTCTCGGCTGCGAGTGCCTTGGATTTTTTTTGATACTCGAAACGTTCGATCTTTTTTCTTACAAATTTTCCGACGAGGGAGATTATTCTTGACGATTACGTTCTTCACTTACGTGTAAATGTTAAAAATTCTCAGTCTCGTTTTATAGTGAAATTTATAATGTTACAATTTATCGTTAAGTTTGGTTTATAATTTGAAAGCCTGTTTATACTTTCGTTTGCGACAGAGCTGCAAAAGTTCAAGAATGTGTTCAAGTCGTGCGTTGATAAGAATATTTCCTTCAAACTTTGTGAATGTTTTCTCAACTAAAGTTTTACTTTATAGTGAAATTTACAATGTCATTGTTATTATTGAGTTTGATTTATTTTATAATTCGATGGTTCGTTCATGTCTTTATTTGCGATAAAGCTGGAGAAGCTCAAGGAGATGTTCAACTCGTGTATCGACAAGGATATTTTCACAATTTTCTTCAAACTTTATGGAAGTTCTCAATTCAAATTTCATTTTATAATTAAATTTATAATGTCATTACTATTATTAAGTTTTTATTTTATAATTTGATGGTTTATTTTCATTTACGACAAAGCTCGGTACAACTCGTGTATTAGTAAGAATACTTTCATAGTTTTCTTCAAACTTTATGAAACATATCTATCTTAGTTTTAGTGAATAAAAATGTAAATGTTCGGTATGATGAAACTTCAATCGAAAGGGTATAGTTGGAAGGAATAATGAGAAGAATGCGGCAAGAAGACGATGTCGCAAGCAGACGTAAGAAAATATAGAAATCCGAACACTTGACATTGGAATTCGAATTTCCAAAGGTGCAATTAGCGTCAAACTGTTTTTTGGCATGTCGTTGTACAGCTTGGCATGACAAACGTGTAGCTTGGCATAAGAAATACGAAACGTGTCGTCGAGGGTCTAAACTGAATCTTCGAGTCGAAGGCCACACTTTTTCCTCTTTAAAAAATTTTGCTTGAAAAATTTCTTTATTTACTAGGTAACTTGTGACGCACTTGCCACTTGAAATTTTGTTGAACCTAGTTTACTAAACTGAAATTTGCCTACTGTTAAAATATTTCAACGATTCTTAGCTAATTTTTAAAAAATTTTGCTTGAAAAATTTCTTTATTTTCCAGACAACTTGACGCACTTGAAATTTTACTAAACTGAAATTTACCTACTGTTAAAATATTTCAACGATTCTTGGCTAATCTTTAAAAAATTGTGCTTGAAAAATTTCTTTATTTACTTAGGTAACTTGTGACGCACTTGCCACTTGAAATTTTGTGGAATCTAGTTTACTAAACTGAAATTTGCCTGCTGTTAAGATATTTCAACGATTCTTGGCTAATTTTTAAAAAATTTTGCTTGAAAAATTTCTTTATTTTCCAGACAACTTGACGCACTTGAAATTTTACTAAACTGAAATTTACCTACTGTTAAAATATTTCAACGATTCTTGGCTAATCTTTAAAAAATTTTGCTTGAAAAATTTCTTTATTTACTTAGGTAACTTGTGACGCACTTGGCATTTGAAATTTTGTGGAATCTAGTTTACTAAACTGAAATTTGCCTGCTGTTAAGATATTTCAACGATTCTTGGCTAATCTTTAAAAAATTTTGCTTGAAAAATTTCTTTATTTACTTAGGTAACTTGTGACGCACTTGCCACTTGAAATTTTGTGGAATCTACTTTACTAAACTGAAATTTCAACAATTCTTAGATAATCCGTGATACTTCACGTTACAAAAAAGACAACGCGCGAAACGGAAATGACTTTTCTGCGAGTAATCTTTCCAGCGCGCTTGGTATATCTGAAACTAAAGTGAAACTGCAGGCAGTGACAAATGAACGTAGTGCCTAATTACAAAAGAAAGTCGACACGTGTTCGTTAACCGCGTCCATCGGCAGGAATACCAAATTACACGATACCACCGAGCATTTTAATAAACCGTCGCGTAGTAATACAACGTGTTGTTCATTACTAACCGCGATTCGATTGCTAATAGCAAAATTCTTTAGCCGAAAAAAAGTAATTATACAACCTCCCTATCATCTTATTAACTGTGTAGAGAGTTATTCTCTACAGTTGACGTGATCACAAACCCGGAAATTGTACACTGACGGAGGTCTGAAAGGATTGAAAAGAGCCGGACTGATCCTCGTCACGTTTCTTTATCTATAAAGTTGAATTTCACTGTCGTTATACGTATCCACGAATGTGCATTTGAAAAACTTGGGCGTCACTCTCTCTCACTTAGTTCTTTTGATTTAGAT